CCCAGCCCTGGACAGCTGTCAGCACCCTCAGTGCCAGCCTGGGGGGGCTGTGGGGCACAGTGGGTGGGGTAGAGCCCCCATGAGGGATCAGTCCCAGACCAGCGCCGTGCTGGGTGCGCTCCAGGGCCAGGGACCACCCACACGCCCTTTCACCCGAATGTCCTCCTGCTCCTGGCTGGTGTCACCCACAACACACCGACATCTCCAGCCCCAGGCTGGCACCAGTGTGAGGGCCTCAGCCACCAGCCATGATTTTTGGGGGCCCCCATCCCCCCATGCTGCCTGACAAATGCCCCAGGGGGAGCAGGTCCCTGCACAATGGGCACAGGCAGCACCCCACCAGCAAGAGGACATGCTGCAGCGGCCACTGTCCCCAGATCCCCACACCCTGCCAGTCCCTCCGACTGAGCCCTACCTGGCAGGGCTGCCAGCACCGCTGCCGCCTCCTCCTCCTCCCTGCCAGCTAGGAGCACACCTGGAGGCTGCATCTCCCACCAGGCAGCCAATGGGTCCCGAGCCCCCCACCCTGCCGGGCAGCGTCACTAATACCTTAATGAGAGCTGACGGGCTGCTCGGGCCAAGCCTGCCCAAGCGCATTAGCGCAGGGAAGGCACCCCTCTGCAGGCAGCGAGCTGCCCATGGGCAGCGGGACCTGCCAGCTAGCGCAGGCAGCACTTGAGGGCAGCCCTGCCAGGCTGTGGACACTGCCTGCTTCATACTGGCAAGGGCTGAGAGGAGGACAGAGTGAGCTAGCGGTGCCACAGCCACCAGTGGTGCCATGGCCACCGGCGGTGCCATGCCCACAGAGGCAGCCGGGCGAGCCAGGCACGCGCAGGGCCATGAGTGAGGCAGTGCCGCACTTGACATCCTGGTTCCTGCCAAGGCCGCGTGCACGAGCGCCTCGCATTACCCTAGATGGCCAGGAGCAGATAAAAGCACTCGAAGGGCTGCACGCACGGGGCTGCCTCCTGTGCACACCCAGCCCCGCTGCCCCCAGCACGCGGGGGGACTGCATCCTGCTCACGCCCCAAAACAGAGCAGAGGGATTTTTTTTTTTTTTTTTTTTCAGTTGCACCCAAGAATCCCTCTTGGGCCAGGCGGGTTGGGGCTGCCGCTCTGCTGTTGGCTCAGGATTGCAAAGCAGGAGGAGGTAGGACCCCAGCCCGCGGCTCCAGGGTAGCTCTCCAGCTCTCCCTCCAGAGACCCTGAGGGAGCCCCCCCCCAGGCAGGCTGCCCAGCACTGCAGCCAAGGTCCGTTCCCAGGAGGGAAAACTGGGGTGGGTAGCGACGGGTTTTTTGCTGAGCTGCTGCCACCCTAAAAGGTGTTTAAAACAGAGGGAGACCCACAAAAGGCTCCCAGCCCACCTCCCCCCCACCCCCCAAGTGTCTGCATACATGGTGGCACAGTCCAGGGTGCAGGGGGCTCACGTGACTGGGGCTGTGGGTCCACACGCAGACCCCAGGGTCTTTTTGTTAAAAAACAAAAACAACCAAAAAAAAAAAACCAGCCAGAGCTTCTGGACCGTGCTGCCAGCACCAATCCACCCGCCCTGGTCACTGCTCCCCACCCCAAGCCCAGGACACCCCAGGCCATGCCCAAGTGCGGCACAGCCCCATGGCACCCAGCCCCTCTAGGCACTCACCTTGATGACATTGCTGCTGCCACTGCAGACGCTGCTGCTGCTGCTGGGGACAGTGGTGATGCGGACAGGGGTGCTCCGCAGCCCGAGGGTCACCTCTGCAAGGGGAGTGAGAGGCATGCGGGGTTTGCCCCAGCCCCAGCCCGGCAGGCTCAGCCCTGTGCCTGGGGAGCGACTCCGGCCGGGCTGCCTGGCTGCCGCATGCATCCTGCCTCAGCGGTGGGCACTGAGCTCTGGCACAGGGGAAGGGCTCTGGGGACAGCCAAGGGACAGGGAAGCCAGCCCCCCCCTCACCACCCTGGTTCGCCCTCTTCCCCAAGGAAGGACACTTTCCGCAGTGCTCCAGCTGGAGCCAAGACCCCCTGGTGCGAGGGACGGCCCCAGGAGCATCCCAAACCAGCCACGTCTGCAGGCAGGCAGGGCTGGATCAGGGGCAGGGCTCGATCAGGGGCAGGGCTGGATCAGACACCACGCAGCAGCGGGGATGGAACGGAGCAGGACAGCGTGGACTCCCAGAGACCAGCAGGTCAGTGGGGTCAGAGCATGAACATGGGGCAAAGGATGGGGCAGGGCCGCGGGGATGGGGCAGGGGATTGGGGAAGGACCCTGGGCACGAATGTGGCAGGACAGTGGGGACGGGGACAGGCTGCAGGGCCAGACGGCCTCTCAGTACTGAGATGCCTCGAGCAGGCTGAGCGTCCCTGCCAAAGGGTGAGGGCTGCCAGGCACACTCTTGCCCACAGCCTCTGCTCTTCTGGCAGTGCCCACGCTCAGCCTCTGGGCCGCCAGCACCCAAATGCCACTGCTGCTGCTGACGTGTCCCATCAGTGCCTGCCTGGCTTATCACTACCCACTTGCCCACTGCTACCCACCTGCCTGCTAGTTTCCACCTGCTCACTGGTGCCCACCACCCTGTCAGTGCCCAGCTGCCCACTGGCACCCATTTGCTCCACTGCCTGACTGCGCGCATCATATTGCCGGGAGCACTGTCCCTTGGTGCTTACGGCCCTGCCGGCACCTACCTGTCTGCTGGCACCCATTGCCCCCACAGTGCCCACCTCCCCGATGGGTGCCCACCAGCCCACCTCTCCCAGTCCCACCTCCCTGAATGATGCCCACTTGTGCTCATCATCCCTACGGTGCCCAGCTGCCGCGCTGCCCATCTTCCCCATCCCGTCTTCACAATAGGTGCCCTCTGCCCACGCTGCCCACCTTCCCCACCCAGCCTCCCGACAGATGCCACCTGCCTGCGCTACCCATCTTCCTCACCCCATCCCCCCGATGGGTGCCCCTGCCCGCGCTGCCCGTCTTCCCTGCCCGGTGCCCACCTGCCCGCTGGCTGCCGGGGGCGGCCACGACACGGGGTGTGAGAGGCCGCACGCGCCCATCCTTGATCTCGATGGTGACGTAGGTCTTCATGCCGTCGAGGCTGGGGCCGGGGCCGGGGCCA